CTAGAGGAACAAGCTAAATGACACCTCAAGGAAACAGCAGATAAATCCAGAATTAGGGATATTTTACAAGACAGTTAATCTGGATTTCTTCAAAAAGTCCATTTTAGTTTTTTTTTTAAATGTGAGAAGGAGGTGGGAAATGTTCAAGATTAGAAGAGACTAAAAATTCCACCTTCTGGGGAGATAAGCTATAGGAAAAAGAGTGTATCTACACTCCCACACCATGCTACTTTACATGCTAATTGTGAAGAACTTAAGAAGAGAAACGTAAGGCCATGGTTTCTTTGCCCCAACCTGGGATTCAGAAGCTTCTAGAGTATCTATGGAGTCAATACTAGTGAATGTTTTTAGTTCCATTTTGGAAAAATACGAAGATAAGAACCTCTGAAAGTTACAGATATCAAACACACCATTTACAATGTACCGCTGGTGGTGAGTGAGCAAAATTCCCAGCCCCACATTTACCAAATCCTGGAGAAACTGCTCTGAGATTGACTGTGCTGTGGAAAATCCTCAATTACAAGATCTGGAGCTTATAAAGGTGGTATACCATTCTGGACTAATGGGATAATGACACTGAAAAATGCTGTGATGTGCGAGACAGGAAGCATATGCTGTGCAACAGATACAAATAAATATAAATCTATATATTGAGAAAGACGAGATGGCAGGAACTGTAAGACCGCCTACGCCAGAGCTGAGTCAGCCACCAATGATATTATGAAAAGTTTTATAAATAGACTGTGCTATAGAAAAAAATCCTACTTCTTCCAAACAGAGTAATATTGCTACTTTTATTAAATGAATGTACTTTTTGTGTGTTTAAGGTAAAAGTGCTTAAGGCATGTGTATGTGTCATTTTCGTGCCTCATTGCTTTAACAGACTCTTTCTGTTAACTAACCAACTACTAGTCACATGCCTGTGGATAGATTACTTCCACCATAATGCTAATTTTGCAGGCTTTGCATTGGCCACGTGGCCAGCTCAAGCTGTACAAGTGTAATGTGATAGACTTACACTTAAGAGAATAGCGTTTAAGAATTGATCCTAATGTCCCTTTCCAGTGGCAGCACCAACTTGAACTGACAGCAAAGCACCAGCCTAAGTTACAAAACCCCTGTGATATGACTTTTCTCGTCAGGTTTCAGTCCCTCTGCAGGAGCTGAGCTCTGGGTTTTGGAAATCTCGATTTCCCAAAGCCAGTGCACATTTGTCCCACAAGAAGTTCTGTGAAAATAGGCTCCTCAAACAGAGGAGTCCACAAAACTGCATATTATATTCCTCTCTGAGAAATTCATAAAAAAAACAATGAGTTGCTGGGCTCGGTGGCTCAGCCTGTAATCCCGTGCCTTTGGGAGGCTGAGGTGAGT